TGGAACAAGGCTCAACTACCTTAAAAATAGTAGAAAATGACATATTGTAACACCATTTTGTGCTGCGAAAAACGCTAGAGAAAATCACATCCCAATGATTTTATACAGCTGGAACAAGGCTCAACTACCTTAAAAATAGTAGAAAATGACATATTGTAACACCATTTTGTGCTGCGAAAAACGCTAGAGAAAATCACATCCCAATGATTTTATACAGCTGGAACAAGGCTCAATACTTAAAAATAGTAGAAAATGACATATTGTAACACCATTTTGTGCTGCGAAAAACACTAGAGAAAATCACATCCCAATGATTTTATACAGCTGGAACAAGGCTCAACTACCTTAAAAATAGTAGAAAATGACATATTGTAACACCATTTTGTGCTGCGAAAAACGCTAGAGAAAATCACATCCCAATGATTTTATACAGCTGGAACAAGGCTCAACTACCTTAAAAATAGTAGAAAATGACATATTGTAACACCATTTGGTGCCAAGGAGTATGTATTTTTGTTGTTTGTTGGGGTTCTCGTACAGGAGGCGACATCGTCTATTTGAGGTTAGGTTTTAGCGAAAAATTCGGCGGTTATTTCGATCATACTATTTTTCATCGCGACTTCTTTTCGCGCGAAATCACAATAAACCAACTACTCATTCATTTCGCGCGTTCTAATTGTCAATTTTCTGTGCAAAAGTTGAAGAAAAATGAATTGCAGTGCAATTGGCTGTCAGAATATCCAGGGATGTAATCCCCACGTCTCCTTCCACCAACTCCCACACCACGAGAGTGAGAAGGTGGTGAGGAAGTGGAGGAAAATCTTGAAGAAGTCGTCAGGTATTGAGAAGAAGATCATCAGAGTGTGCTCTGACCACTTCCTGCCTGACGATTTCCACCCCACTTCCCGAGCTCTGCAGGGAGAGTGGAAGTGCAGAAGGAGATTGAAGAAGGGAGGTAATGATTTATATACAATGCAGGTTGTTCTTTTTTATTATTTCATCTATAATAATTTTCAGTTTTCCCGACGAAAGTTGGGACATCTCCAGAGCTGAGCCGGGCTCATCCAGAGGCGAGTCTGGACCTCATCCAATCTCTCAACCCAGAGATTGCAATTCTATGTAAGTTTCAGAATAGAAATATGTGTAAATTGATTGACTTAAATGTGCTCTCGTATTTCACAGGGGATCATTCCTATGCAAAGATCATGCCCTGCGGTAATGGACATGAATTTGAGGAGAGAACTGCAGTCTTGAGAGACGAGGATGAAGAGCTGAATGATGTGATCCGCGATGAAGCCGGAAGTGACAAAGAATCGGAAGTAGATATGCTCTTCGACAACACAATCGAAATTATTTCGGATTATGAGGAGGCAGTGGAAGATCAATCGATTGGTAAGTTATTTTTTTTATAATATTCAATAACTCTATATGGAATTCATTAATTTTTTCTGTGTGTGGGGGGGACAAAGAATTGCATGTTGAGACAACTGAAAGATGCTGTGTTGCAGATTCTCAACCCCAAATCAGGTGGACCTGCTGCTGAAACGCATCTCACTTTTAAAGTGAAAAAAAATGTACTAAGAGACACGTGTGAATTTATTAATGAAAATGTGGACTGCAGCAGATATTCAAAAGATGTGTTAAATACTTATGTGAAGCAGAGAATTAGAAACAAAATAATTTACCAAAATAATCACTTAATTGAGAAGGAGAGAAGGGCGAATATGTATAGGAAAAAAGGGTGGGCGGCTTCACAGGAGCAAAAGAAAATACAAACATTCACAACTTGAATAAAATAATGAAAATCCGTGAAAAAAAGAATTGTTTAAATTTAAATTCCCGCGAATTCACTTCACCGCGAAACACAAATTTAACTATACATCTTCTTCTTCTTAAAATGGTCGCTTGTCGCCTCCTGTACGAGAACCCCAACAAACAACAAAAATACATACTCCTTGAGTCGAGACACCCATTTACCGTCCCAATAGAAGTCCCAATACTCGATTATCCCCATGTGAATCGGCCAACTGAAGACGTGGTTCGAATTCCTCGACAAGCGAGTCGACGCCATGGAGAGATGGAATGACGATACGCCAGCTTCGAGGCTGTGCAGCATCTCTTCAGTCAAGAAGCCCGATGTTGTCTTCAAAGATAAGCGGGTTGTGAGGGCGCATCACACCGAGATGGCCTTCTGCCCTCATTGCAATCAACCAGGACATGAGCTGTTCCAATGCGACCGATTCAAAGCCCTTCCCTGTGCCGACAGGAGGGCATTCGTAGCTGGTAACAAGATTTGTTACAATTGTATGCGTCCAAATCATACAGTGCGAAATTGTACTTCGAAGTCGACCTGCAGGTTCTGCAACAAATCTCATCATACTTGGCTTCACCCGGAAGATACTCCAGCTGTGGCTAGTGTGCCAGCAGCACTGACGAATACTGTATCTCAAGCTGATATCGATTCAGCAGCTGAGGAGATTGCCACAGTCACGACACATCATTGCACCACTCTAAAGCGTGCTCTGCTGCCCACGGCGCTGGTTCATGTAGCAGACAGAGACGGGAATCAGCAAGTTTGTAGGATTCTCATTGATGGAGGGAGTGAGTGTTCGTTGATTTCGGAATCTTGCGCTCAGAGACTGCGACTTCCCAGGAAGAACAAGAGAGTAGCTGTCAATGGAGCTGGTGAGACAGTCGTGGGCTACACTAGAGGTTTAGTGGTCATCAAGGTGACCTCGATGTGTCATCCGGAGGAGAGTCTTCAGGCGGAAGCTCTCGTGCTCAGCAAGATGACCTCCAAATTGCCAACGGAGCAACTTGTACAATCGATCAACTGGAAACATCTGCGAAATCTGCGCTTGGCAGATCCTCAATTCGATAAACCGGCGGAAATCGACATCATTCTGGGAGCTGAGTTTGCGATGGAGATAAATTGTCCGAACATCATCAAGGGAGGTGATGGAGCACCAGTGGCCCAAGAGACAATCTTTGGCTGGGTCGTCGGAGGGAAAATGTCGAGCATTGCGTCGAGTGTGAAGTCTTTTCACATGATGTTCGATGTGGACAAGATTTTCAAGGATTACTGGGCAGATGACTTGACAAAGAAGCCACTCATCGAGAACGAAGAACAATTCTGTGAGGAATACTTTGCAGAGACCGTCAAGCGCGACGCATCAGGCAGGTATGAAGTCAGGCTTCCGCTCAAGAGATCTCCAGACCTGCTGGGAGATTCTAAGCAAGCCGCTCTCGCACGACTTTCCGCGATGGAGCGAAAGTTCATGAAGGATCCACAATTCCGCCAGTTGTACGTGGACTTCATGAGGGACTATGAAGCAAAGGGTCATATGGAGCGCGTCCCACCGGAGGACGTCCAATCGTCGAAGCCCTCATACGTGATTCCTCACATGGCTGTGATGAGGCCTTCCAGCACTACAACCAAATTGCGAGTTGTATTTGACGCATCGTGTGCAATTAGACCACGAAATATCGCATTGAATGGTATCTTGGCCGTGGGGCCAAAGATTCAGCCCGATTTTGATGACTCTTCTCCTGAAATTCCGCACATTCCCGGTGGCATTTACTTCAGACGTTGAAAAGATGTACAGACAAGTTCGAGTCGCACCGGAGGATTGTGATCTTCAGAGGATTTTCTGGAGAGAATCCCGACATCAACCTGTTCAAATATATCGCCTTACAACTGTGACGTACGGAACAGCGTGTGCTCCATTTCTTGCCACTCGAGTGCTCAAGCAAATGGCACTCGACAACGCTGATGACTACCCAGACGCTTCAGAGGCTATTATCAACGGCTTCTATATGGATGATTTGCTCAGCGGAGCAATGAACATCGAGTCAGCCATTACATTGCAATCAGACATCCATCAGATTCTCGATTCTGGTGGATTTCCGCTCCGGAAGTGGGCGTCAAATGCACCGGAGGTGCTCCAGAACATCCCGCCTGAGCAGCAGGCGCTCACTGAGGAAGAAGTGTTGGCAGGCAACAAGTTAGTCCCACTTCTTGGGCTTCAGTGGCTTCCTGGTTTAGATCAACTCTCCCTGGTCATCGAGGACTTCGTAGAGGCATCAAGTAGGAGAGATTTGTGCGCTAGTGCGGCCAAAGTGTTCGATCCTCTTGGTTTTATTGCGCCAGTGACAGCCAAATTGAGGATGTTGACTCAATCACTGTGGGATGTAGACATTGATTGGGACGATCCACTCCCAGAGGACATCCGGAGGGAGTTTTTGATTATTCGAGCTCAGCTCAGCGATCTAACAAAGGTAAATGTACCACGTCTCATGATCAAGTCTCCTTCACAGATAAATCTTCATGGATTCGCTGACGCTTCGAGCAAAGGCTACGGAGCAGTAGTTTATGCCGTCTGTGTAGATGATAACTTACCTGGCCAGGCGATCTTCGTAGCCTCCAAGTCAAGAGTGGCTACTCGTCAGCCAGTCACAATGGACCGGCTGCATTTGAATTCAGCGTGCCTTCTGTGCCACTTGATAGAGAAGCTGACGAAGGATTTGGGCTCTACAGAAGTGATTGTGAAGGCCTGGACGAGTTCAGAGATTGCGCTTCAGTGGATCCAGCGCGAATCCAGCGAGTACAAGACATATGTAGCCAACCGATTGGAGCAAATCCACAAAATCATCCCAGGAAGTGTGTGGCAATGGACTCCGATCGCTGACAATCCCGCAAGTTGTCTGGCTCAAGGATTGACTCCTAAAGAGTTAATTCAACACCCTCTTTGGCGTCACGGGCCCAAATGGTTGGTTCAAGGAGAATCTCAGTGGCCGCAGAGGAAAGAGATTCCACATTCAGTGACAGGGGAAGAGAAACTTGTTTCTCAGACTCTATTCACTCAACATCCGATTGAATCAACTGAGTCGATTGAGTTCTTCAAGAGATTTTCATCAGCCGCCAAGTTAACTCGAGTGACTGCGCAGATGTTAAGGTGGCGAAACTTCAAGGAAAACCGTCATGCCTTTGGAATTGAGCTTACTGTCCAGGAAATAGCTCAAGCAACGATGATCTTGGTCAAGAAAGCTCAGCGTGAGTGCTTCGCTGAAGAAATACATTGTCTACAGCGCAACCAGCCCATCAAAGCAGGAAGTAAATTGTCTAAATTGGTGCCCTTTTTGGACGACTGTGGCGTTCTGCGAGTGAAAGGAAGAATTCAGAATTCAAGACTTGAATTCGAGGCACGTCATCCAGCGATTCTGTCCGGCGTTCATCCCTTCACTCTCAAGCTCATCGAAGCAGCTCACGTGTTTCATCTTCACGCGGGCACAGCACTCACACAAAGCATCATGAGAGCACAATACTGGATCATTGGTGAGCGTCGAAGTGTTAAGAAAGTGATCCATCAATGTATTTCCTGCTTCCGAGCTAAACCACGTCTGGAGCAGCCGCTCATGGGAAACCTTCCGGCTTACAGAGTGCGCCAAGCCAGAGCATTCATAAACACAGGGTGTGATTTCGCCGGGCCTCTCCAAGTGCGAGTCTCCAGACTTCGTAAAGCCATCGTGTGTAAAGCATACATTTGCCTATTTGTATGCATGGCCACTAAAGCCGTCCATCTGGAGGCTGTAAGTGATCTCTCCACCGAGGCGTTTCTGGCAGCTCAGAGACGATTCAGGTCAAGGCGCGGAATTTGTCAAAACATCTACTGTGACAATGCCTCAAACTTCGTCGGAGCCGTGACGTCTGTGGATCCAAAGGAAAAGCGCAAGCAACTTCTTCAGCATCAGCAACGGGTGATCAGATTCATGTCTGAGTCTGGGACGCAATTTCATTTCATCCCAGCATACTCGCCCACCTTCGGAGGCCTTTGGGAGCGAGGCATTGGGAACGTGAAGTTTCACCTGAAGAGAGTGTTGGGAGACACAATCCTGACGTTCGAGGAGTTGACGACGGTGTTGACGGAAGTGGAAGCTCTCCTGAATTCCAGGCCCCTCTGCCCATTGTCTTCGGAGCCTGACGATTTGGATCCTCTCACGCCAGCGCATTTCCTGGGCTCTTACGGGCCACCAATTGAGGTGCCTCCACTCGATACGCTGCCAGAAAAGCTCAATCATCTCACTCGTTGGAGATTTCTTCAGCGTCTGTCCCAGGAATTTGGGCGAAGGTGGCAAGCAGAGTACATCACCACCTTGCAGCAGCGGCCAAAGTGGAGTAAGACGACGGAGAATTTGGCCATTGGAGATCTTGTCCTGATCAAGATAGACAATCTGAGGAGCTTCGTTTGGTCTATGGGACGTGTCACGGAGATTCATCCAGGATCCGATGGAGTTGTGCGAGTAGTAACCGTTCGTACTTCATCTGGACTCACCAAACGGGCAGTCAACAAATTGGCCAAACTGCCTCTTCAAGATGAGTTGAAAGGAGACTCTCAACCGGAGGAAAATGTGGAGACTGGAAGAGAGCCGCCGTTTAGCTCTGCGGCTCACATGCCGCGCTGAGTGGAAGTCTGGAAGATCGCGGCCATGTTGAGTTGAGTTGAAGAGAGGAGAAGGCAAAGACGGCCACGCGACAGTGAGAAGAATTTAAAAAGTGAAATAAAGCGAAATATTGAACTAATATAGACAAGGTGTTGTTGTTAGTAGCAAGGCGAGTGAAGAAGGAGTGTGCTGGCAAGCAAAGCAAGGAGATTGCGACGTTTTGAAAGGGGAAATCCGGTCAATCGTGCCGGATTTATCATTCCCTTTTCAATTGCAGGTGGGACATTCACGCAGATAGACAAGAGAGTCAGGCGAATTCTAATCGTATCTTTTCCATTACAAAGGTGCGACAATCATGCAGATAAACTAGAGAGTCAGAAGGAGTCTAATCGTATCTTTTCCATTACAAAGGTAATCAAACCTCACATTTTCTATTAGCAATTTGAAGTGAAATAGGCAAATGTGAGTAAAGAAGATCTTGGTGATAATTTAGATTTCTTGTTTCTTTAGCAAAGACACACTTTTGAAGGGTCAATTTCTTGAGAAAAGATGGCAAATTGATCAGAAAACTATGCAATTCTTTTACAATGCTTTTACTTTTTGCGAATATGAAATAAGAAATTGATTTAGATATTGAAATTCTCCTTAAAGAAGCTATTTTAGTTCAAAAGGCTGATTTTTCACCTGAAATCTCTTTCTTCTGTTTGTTCATCAGGAAGCGCAGCGCGCGAGGACGCGAGCTCCAATGGCAATAAGACTGATGTAAATAGCATGGATACTTATCCGCCCCAGCAGACGGCCGCGTCCTCGTCCGCTGGCCAGCCGAATGTGCTCACGGACGCAGAGCTGGTGGATCCACTGCCCAGGAAGATACAGAGCACGGTGAATGCGCGCCTGAAGCACGATCTGTTCGTGTGCTGCGTGCTGGCCGTGATCTATCTCGGGTTGCACTACAGCACGGTGTTCACGGTGCTGCAGCCGGACCTCAATCCCGTGCTGCACACGATCGCCGGCGTCCTGGGCCTGGTGCTGCATTATCTGCTGCCGCAGATGCGCAAGCACTGGCCGTGGCTGTGCATGTCGCTGCCGATTCTGCGTCAGCACGAGTTTGGGCAGTTTGAGCCGCGCGGCGCGGCCAAAGTGATGTGGTTTGAGAAGTTTATCGTCTATCTGTGCATGCTGGAGAGGAATGTGCTGTATCCCATTGTCTTCATCGGCGCCCAAACGTCTGACTCTGTGCGAATTGTGGGCAAGTTTGGCATTTCGCTGGGCACTGTTTTTGTAGTGATTTGCGGACTGAAGTGTGAGTCAAATTGAATTTCAAGAAGTTGAAGAATTTCACCAATTGACATGCATTTTTTCAGGTGTTCGAAGCTCTTTCTCCGATCCAGCAAGTCAATACTTGATCCTCATCTTCTCAGTGCTCTTCTTTCGATTACATTCTTTTGATTACATTGCCTGCAGTGAAACTTTCCTCATCAACTACTTCTTCGTTTCCATTCTGTATAAGAAAACGTGCGATTTTCTTCTTAAGGTAAAGATCAACTTACTCTCCAATGGTTATTCTGTGGCAGTTTTTTTTGCTGAGATGAAGAATTCTTCGCTTTGCAGGTGCAATTTATCGTGACTTACATTGCTCCGTGGCAAATCACGTGGGGTTCAGCATTTCATGCCTTTGCTCAGCCCTTCAGTGTGCCACACTCGGCGATGCTCTTCGTGCAGGCGGGCGTCAGTGCGCTCCTGTCCACGCCACTCAATCCCTTCCTGGGCAGTGCAATCTTCCTCACGTCCTACGTGCGACCGATTAAGTTCTGGGAGCATGACTACAACACGCGTCGCATTGATCACTCCAACACGCGCCTCAGTTTGCAGCTGGAGCGCGATTTGGGCTCGGATAACAATCTCTACAGCATCTTCTACGAGCATCTCACCAGATCGCTGCAGCACTCGCTCTGCGGCGATCTGCTGCTGGGCAGGTGGGGAAATGTGAGTCAGGGTGATTGCTTCGTGCTGGCGTCGGACTATCTCAACTGTCTTTTTCACATCATCGAGCTGGGCAACGGGCTGTGCACCTTCCAGATGCGCGGCCTGGAGTTCAGGGGCACATACTGCCAGCAGCGCGAAGTGGAGGCGATCCCTGAGGGTGTGGAAGAGAACAGAGGTGAGTTGAATGAAAGTGAGGGGAAGAAAAAGGGAGATGATTTGTGGATTTCCTTGCAGACTGTTGCTGTTGCTCTCCTGGTCATCTGCCCTTCATACTCAGCGTCAATGCCATGTTCTCAACACGTTGGCTGGTGTGGCAAGTTGTGGCGGCACAGTATATTCTCGAAGGATACTCAATATCTGACAATTCGGCTGTGGCGACGCTCCAAGTCTTCGAGTTCCGGCGAGTTCTCATCACGTATTATGTGAAGGTGGGACAATTTATTACTGCTCTTTGTTTTCTGATGGTTTTCATGCTCTTCTCGATCACTTTGCAGAGCATAATCTACTACACAATTCAGTCGCAGAAGCTGGACGAGTGGCTAAATTCGCAGGCAATTCAGGAAGCGCTGCAGAGCACAACAGAGCGACAATATGTGGACTTGGATCCTGTGTTCTATCACAATCTGGATGAGAATTATGACTTCCGGTCGTCGGGCATCACGCGGAATAGCTTCTGCAGCGTGTATCTCGGGTGGATTCAGTATTGCTACAAGCAGAAAAGGAAGAGAGAGGCAAGCAGAGCTTCAGGTCCATGGTCAGCGACGCAGTCACAAAAGTGAGTTGGAATTTTTCAAGATTTATGTGCATAATTTTGCATAGAAAAGCTCAGATTTCCCCGTGAAAGAAAATTACATCCATTAATCATGTGAGAAGCAATTTTTCACTGAAAACTAATTTATACTTTTCATCACTTTTGCACTCACTTTTCTGATAATAAAGGTCAGAGGAAAGAGAGAGAGAGAGAGATTAAATTGCAATTAACATCCTTTGCCGCACATTCTTGACTTCTGACCATTGATGGGGTTTAATTGAAAAATCAATTTCCATTTCCCTTTTTCAGTTTGTCGGACAACAAGATGAGTCACTAAGAGGTCAAGGAGAGTGGCAAAAGCAGCGAAGAATCATCGCATATTGTGGTGAGAAATCTGATATAATAATGTTTCACAGTCATTTTTTTTTTCGCCGTTTCACAACTTTATTTACAAGCTGTCCGAGGACATTCAGTAAAGGTAATCACATAGGGGAACATCACAATGTTATAGTGGGAATGAACAACCAATGCTGACATTACCATGGAAAACTCACAAATTTATAATACTTATAAATCTGGGATCCAACGAGACGGAAGGTCAAGAGGATCGACACGTTTAAGACGCCGGTATCTCCTGGTGGTAGGCAGGCGAGCGGCAAGGGTATTAGGATGGACTTCCAGTTGGTGGATATAGCGGGGGCTGAGCCGTAGAATTTGCTGTTTGACATTCAGGCTTGAAGATCTCTATGGATAACTTCGTTAGTCACATACCAGTCAGCATTTGCTAGTCTCCGCAAAACTTTAGACTGGTAGCATTGAAGCATTTTTAAGTTGGTCTCGCTGGCAGAGCCCCAAATCTGGATACCGTAGGTCCAGATTGGAACAATCATGGCCTTGTAGAGCATCACTTTAGAATGCAGAGACACACTCGATCTCTTACCGACGAGCCAATAAAGGGAGCTCATTTTCAGCTTCATCTGCTGGATTTTCGCTTTGATATGGCTTTTCCATGTGAGTCGCTTGTCTAGATGAAGGCCAAGGTACTTGACTTCAGGTTTCTGAGGAATTAGATTAGATTTAGATTAGATTAGAAATGGGGGTGGTACAAGAAATCTTGCTCCACGGCATCCAGGCCATCTGACGGGCCTTTTATGCATCCCCAGGAAAATTTTCCCATTTTAAGGGCCAAGACCCAAAGCTAACCAGTCATCCAGTTACCTTTCAGACGGTAACAGCTTTGGCCTGTGACTTTCATTGATATCTTCTTATTTTATTTATGTCGTCCCTTCTTCCCCCCGGTTATCCTCTGATTTTTTCCCACTCAGAGGGCAAGGCTTTTCAAGTGAGCCAGTCAAATGCACAGACTAGCAGAGCTTGGCCTTGGGCGTGATTGCAGACGATATCGCTTATTTACAAGCGACACCAGTCTGGTAGTGTGCCCATCTATATGTAAGGACAGATGCGAAATACACTTTCATAGAAGTTTCTACTTCAGTTGGAACATTTAACAGCAACCTTATTTGGGCTGGAATTTTATATTTGCCATTGAAAGGCTTAATATTTTTCGCATCTGCTGTGTTCGATCATTTGCAAGTGATGGGGATCGAACACACGACCGTGATGTTCTCAGTCTGGCTCTCTACCGACTGCACCACGGCCGCCTTTTTCTGAGGAATAGTCACGTTGTTAATGCTGACTTTTGGGCAGGATCTGCGTTTTAGGGAGAAGGAGACGTGTACGGATTTCCCTTCATTTAGTCTCACTCCCCAAAGGGCGAACCACTCGGCCATGGTGTTCAAGTGGGTCTGCAACTCTCGAGAAGCAGTGTTCATGTTGGCATGGGTTGACATGATGGCTGTATCGTCAACAAACGTGGCCATTTGGACATCCCGAGAGGTGGGCAGGTCAGCCATGAACAGCATGTACAGCGTGGGCCCAAGAACGCTGCCCTGCGGGACCCCAGCCCGGATGAAGCGCCTAGATGATAGAGCTGAGTCTACTTTTACGAAGAAGGCTCTTTCGGTGAGATAAGACTCCAAGAGACCGTGAAATCTTGTAGGAAGTTTTCCGCGGATTTTGTACAGCAACCCCTCATGCCATATCTTGTCGAAGGCCTGGGCTATGTCCAGGAACACAGCAGAGCAGTATTTCCCAGCGTCGAGGGCTTCCTGGATTGTTGCGACCACGCGATGAACTTGCTGCACTGTGGAGTGCCTGGCCCTACATCCAAACTGGTGATCAGGTATAAGCTTAAGAGCTCTGATGGCGGGAAGGAGGTCGTTTAAGATGACTCGCTCGCATAACTTGGACAAAATTGGTAAAAGGCTTATGGTCGGTAGGAAGAAGCCAGGGAGATGTCCTTTCCAGGTTTAGGAATCATTCGTATAGTTGCCACTTTCCAGGATTGAGGAAAATGACCCGACCTGAACACTGCATTGAAGATGTATGCAAGCAACCTTACGCATATCTCGGGTAGGCATTTAATCATTTTGCCGCTAATGCCATCGATTCCTGGAGCCTTCTTCACATTAATGGATGTGGTATAGTGTGTTACCTGAAGGGTGTAAACGAAGATGTTAGAGATTGTTGCGTGCGTGATAGCGTGAATGGTTGACTGTGTTTTTACCTGAAGCAAATGGAATGAATGTTGAATGAATCTGTCCTCAATGACTGAGACTCTGTATGATTGCTGTATTACCTGGAAAGAGAGTGAGGTTAGGTATGGCTTGAATGACCAAATTCCTCCTCTCTGTTGTGGATGATTTGAGGGATAAATTCACTTGATTGATATTTCACGTTATTTATTTAACTAATAAAGAATAATAAAAATAACTTCAATTGATTTGTATATAGTAAAAAATGATGAAAAATGTGGAGTGTCTTCGGCGTGGCGTGTGAATTCTTGAGCGTCCAAACCGGAAGAGGGTGAACATAGGCGCATTATGTTGTCGGCTTGCGCGCGATAACATCCTGGCCGGGTGGAATCGCATTGAAAAGCGATTTCAAAGAATCCACGGAAGGTGAATCCTTTGGTAGGGGGCAGATCTTGGGCAGTGCGCGCTGCGTGATCCCCGTGGGCGTTTGTAGAGTGAACATCCTGATCAAATTGTCTTCACCAGGATGCACCTTGATGACACGTCCTGTTGGCCACTTGAGGGGTGGCAAATTGTCATGTTTGATGAGCACCAGATCGTTGATTTCCACAGGTGAACTGATAGTCATCCACTTGTTGCGTGGCTGAAGAGTATGTAGATATTCCTTGTGTCACCTTCGCCAAACATGCTCAACGATCTGCTGGACTTGTTGCCATTGTCCCAAGTGATTGGTGGGAAATTGAAGAAGGTTGGGCTCTGGGATAGCCCTGAGTGGAGTCTCCGTTAGCGGGCCCAGAATGAGAAAATGACCCGGCGTGAGTGGTGAAAAGTCCCTGGGATCGTCCGAGAGACTGGTGAGCGGCCTAGAGTTGAGGATTGACTCGATCTGGGGGACTAATGTGAGCATCTGTTCCTGGTTGAGTCTGGTGTCGCCGGCTACTCTGCGCAAATGTGTTTTGAATAACTTGACTCCAGATTCCCAGGAGCCACCGAACGTAGGACTTGCTGGAGGAATGAAGTGGAATGTAATCCCACGCTCCGCTGCTGCGTTGAGAATTTCATTTTGGGATTGCTCCGTGATGAACAAGTCCTTGAGCTCCTTCAACTCTCTGTTGGCGCCTACGAAATTAGTGGCATTGTCGCAATAAATGTGCGACGGAATTCCGCGTCTGGCCGTGAATCTTTTGAGGGCAGCGATGAAGCCTTCCGTGGTGAGAGATTCGACCAGTTCGAGATGAATGGCCCTTGTTGTGAGGCAGATGAACACCGAAATGTACACCTTTCGTGGCGCTCCTGTGCGCGTGAATGGCTTGAGCAGGAACGGCCCACAAAAGTCCACTCCCGTATGGGTGAAGGCGCGGGATTGACGCACCCTGTTGCCCTGACAGTCACTCATCAGCTGCTCCGTGCCTCTCGGACGAACCTTGAAGCAATTGTGGCATTTGCGGGCGACTCTCTTCGCCACTGTCATCCCATGGACAGGCCAGAATTCCATCCTCATGGCACTGAGGAGAAGATGGGGACCACCATGGAGAGTGGTACGATGGAAGTCACTTGCCACCAGATCTGTGAGATGATGTTTGGCTGGCAACAAGAGTGGATGTTTGTGGTCAAATGTGGTGTCCGCGCGCCCAATCCTGCCCCCTACACGAAGCATTCCCTTGTCGTCCAGGAAGGGATTTAGTTTGCGGACGCTGGAGTCCTTGGAGATCGTCTTCTTGAGTGTGAGATCGTGTATCTCCTCGGCGAAAGATTGCGCCTGGACGGCCCTGATGAGAATGTCCTTGGCTGTTGCCAATTCCACTGTACTGAGAGATCCGCGATCGATCTGATTACGCTTGTATTTGTTTATGATGAAGCGCGCGAACCTCGTGAGAATTGCAACTGCTCTCACAAGCCTCGGAAATGATGAATATCTGAAGATGATGTTCCAAAGCGGATTAGACACATGCAAATGAGCACATACCTTGATCTCCTCAAGCTGGTCTTCAGAGATGTCGTCTGGGGTGTTCTTGTGAGTGAACGGAGGCGGTATGTCATCGAATATCCAGTCAGGTCCTTGTTCCCAAAACTTCTCGTGGATGAGAGCGTCTGCCTTGACGCCTCTGGATGCGAGATCTGCTGGATTATGTTCTGATCTCACATGGCCCCATGCTGAAGCCGGCAGCGCTGATTGAATCTGCGTGACGCGATTCCGGACAAAAGTCTTCCATCGATTGGCATCACCAGTGATCCAGTGAAACGCCACAGTAGAGTCGGAGAAGACTCGGATCTCGCTGACATCCATCGTGAGTGCTGTTTGCACTTTCTTGAGCAGTCTGACGAGGAGAATGGCACCACAGAGTTCAAGTCGCGGAATTGATTGAGCTTTGAGAGGTGCGACACGAGTTTTGGCTGCGATCAAATGACTGCTCACTCTGTCACTGTGGTCATGTGTCCTCGCGTAGATGCATGCAGCATATGCATCTTGTGATGCATCACAAAACCCATACAGCTGTAGTTGTTTGACGTCTTCGAGTTCAGTGAACCTTCTCGGGAAGCTGAGAGTTGCCAGCTTGCGGATTTCCTCCTGATAGGAAACCCAATTGTCTCTCAACTGATCCGCAAGCGGTATGTCCCATTCCAGTCGTTCCTTCCACAGTGTCTGCATGAAGATCTTGCCGCTGATCGTGACTGGAGACAAAAGGCCCAATGGATCGTAAACTCGTGACATGTTGGAAAGTACACTGCGCTTGGTGATCTCTCCATCCTTGAGACCTATCTTGAATGAGAATGTGTCTGTGTGTGGGTGACACTGTAGGCCGAGTGTCGAAATGGCGCCTCCTGAATCGAACTCCAAGATTGACTTGGTTTCTCTGTCTTCAGTGGGAACCCTCTCAAGCACCTCCTGACAGTTCGATGACCACTTCCTGAGGGAAAAGCCACCTCCTCGGAAAAGACCCGACAATTCCTCCTGCAGCGTGACCGCCTCCTCAACTGACTGTGCGTCCGTGAGTAGATCGTCCACATAGAAATCCCTTGCGGCGATTTCTCTTGCATGAGGGTAATTTCCGCCATCATCCTTCAGCAGCTGCTGCATGCAACGAGTGGACAAGTATGGAGCACTGGCCGTGCCATATGTGACTGTCGTGAGGAGATATGTTTGCAGTGGCTTCTCTGAACTGTCACGGTAGAGAATTCTCTGGAGATTCTGATCGTCCTCGTGCACCCTGACTTGCCGGAACATCTTCTCGATATCGGCCTTGATTGTGATGTTGTGCTGGCGATATCTGACCAGGATGTCGAACAATTCCTCTTGTGTACGAGGCCCAATCTTCAGAATTGAATTCAGTGAAAGACCTGATGTTGTCTTGCAGCTCGCGTCGAAAACAACGCGAACCGGAGTGGATGAAGAGGACATCTTGACCACAGCATGGTGTGGCAGATAATACTCTGGCCGGGATGAGACGTAGTCTTCCGGGAGTATCCTCATGTGGCCCAGCTCCAGGTACTGGCTCATGAAGTTGCTGTAGTGTTCCTTCAACACGGGATTTGACTTGAGTCTCTTCTCCACCTGTCTGAAGCGCTGTTCTGCGATGAATCGTGAGCTTCCCAAATCGCCTTCATTCTCTCGTGTGGGAAGTCTGACGATGTAGCGCCCCTCAGAGTCTCTCGCTGTTGTGGCGGCGAAAAAGTCTTCGCACTCAGACTCCTCAGTTGTCAGTGAAGTTGCCTCTTGCCCGATCTCTTCAATCTCCCAAAACTTGCTGACCAACTTGTGCAGATCATCTGTCATTGTGGCAAAACTGAAGAACGTGCTGAGTGGCTGTGCGTTGTGGGAACGACTCCATGCACCCTGAACAACCCAGCCAAATGCAGTCTCCAAGAGGGCTGGGGAATTGTCCTGAAGATGACCTGAACGCCTCGCTCGTGCGTCGAATTCAGCGCCCAGCAGCAAGTCAATTCTGCCCGGAGTCATGAACTGTGGGTCAGCCAGTGTGATGTAATCGGGAATCTTCCAATCCAGCTCCACGTAATCTGCCGGGAGCTCATCCACTACCTTGGGGACGACCAGGAAGTCGGCCACCATATGAAATTGTTGATCAGTGGATGTGATGTGAAGGCCAGCTGACTGATTGACGTTAATAGAAGCCGCATTGACTCCTGAGATCTGGCGGGCTTCCTCCTGTCGCCTAGGGATTTTAAGCTTGTCCAGAAAGCACTTGGTGACAAAGTTGACTTGGCTGCCTGCGTCCAACAATGCCCGGCATCTGTGTAGCTTCCCGTTGGCTCCTCTGGCGAGGACTTGGACCGTTGGAAGCAATGTGTTTTGAGCCACTCGTGTGGCGAACGTCTGTCTGTCCGAGCTACTTGAACTCTCGGCTGCTGCAGGAACGTCTACTGTGGTGAGGGCATTTCGTGACGATGATGGCTTCGCCTGTGAATTCACTGGTGTGACTGGGTTGGGATCTGATTGCTGTCCCTGAGTCGGCGCCTTCTGAACACAGGCGTCGTGGATGAGTGAGTTGTGATGCTGACGGCAAACGCGGCAGGAGCCACGATCGCAATCAGTATGTTGTGGACTTAGGCAGTTGGTACACATCTGAAGCCTGCGAAGCGTCTCCAGCCTCTGCAATGGTGTTTGGGCCAGAAACTTGTCACACTTCCAGGCGTGATGGACGACAGCCTTGCAGACCTTGCAAGTCTCATTGTTCGCATTTCAAAATGACGACTGCTTCTGAGACTTGTTGTTGGATTGTGTCATGGGCTTCTTCTGAGCTGGCTGAGATGTGGAGCTGGTGGAAGACTTCTGCTTGGAGACGTTTTCCAACTCATCACAACGCCTCGAGAGGAAATCGCTGAACTCTTGCCATGTGGGTAAAGTCCCCTGAGTTGCCTCGCATGCCCAGAGTTCCTTTGTGTCAGGATCCAGAGTTTGCGACGCAAAGTGGACCAACCAAGCATCCTTGCTGGACGCTCCCATGTTCTCAGCTCCGAGAATTGCCTCCTCGTACGTGCTGTGAAGCTTTCGCAGCTTGTCCGCATCTGCCACTTTAAGCTCTGATTGTGAGAAGAACCGAGTGAAGTACTCCTTGATGATACTCTTGGGCTTGTTGAATCTCTTGATGAGAAGACTCCAAGCCTTCTCGTAGTTGCTCTCTGAGACGGTCAGATGGCTGATGATCGCGTTCGCTTCTCCGGTGAGAGACATCTTCAAATATTGAAACTTCTGGATGACCATCAGATTCTTGTTCTCTTGAACGGTGCACTTGAAGAAATCGTAGAAAGCGGGCCACTCTGAATAAGCACCGTGAAACGTCTTGAGATGTAGCTCAGGAAGTTTGACGTGAGCCTTTGTGTCAGGCTTCTTCTCCCGCTCACTCATGAGTGTCGTCAGCGTCTGACTGTGATGTGTGAGCATCCTATCGACCATCGCAAGTATGTCGCTCTGTGTATTCGCAGTGCCTGCGGGGGACTGGCTGTTGAGGTGAATGCGAATCTTGAACTCCAAATTGTCGCATTTATCCATGAAATCACTCGTTCTCGCCTCCTCCTTAGCAATCTCATCTGCATCCGTCAAGCCCCTTCTGAATTGCTCCTGTAGCCCAAGAAATTTGTCTCTCTGGCTGTCCACGTAGTCCAATTTAGCCTTGAGGAGCGCAAGAGTCTCCGGTTGCCGTAGTTGCTCTGCTGTTAAGCCCTCAACGGTTTGATTGAGCTTTGTGAGCTGAGCGTATACGGCTGCCCGCTTCTGAATCAACGACATTCTGCTCCACTGCTGAGATGGGTGAGTGAGAACAGTCCCTGACCGGGATGACGCCTGATTGAAGTGATAAAACCCCCGCTTCCGCCAATTGCACTTGATCGGACCACGTACGTGAGGAACGTGGTGGCTTGAACACGCACTGGATTGCTAACCGTAGAGGTGCCAATCCTTTTGCACAGTCACTGGTCACTTTCCCTCGAAGGACCAGAATGGTATAGTGTGTTACCTGAAGGGTGTAAACGAAGATGTTAGAGATTGTTGCGTGCGTGATAGCGTGAATGGTTGACTGTGTTTTTACCTTAAGCAAATGGAATGAATGTTGAATGAATCTGTCCTCAATGACTGAGACTCTGTATGATTGCTGTATTACCTGGAAAGAGAGTGAGGTTAGGTCTGGCTTGAATGACCAAATTCCTCCTCTCTGTTGTAGATGATTTGAGGGATAAATTCACTTGATTGATATTTCACGTTATTTATTTAACTAATAAAGAATAATAAAAATAACTTCAATTGATTTGTATATAGTAAAAAATGATGAAAAATGTGGAGTGTCTTCGGCGTGGCGTGTGAATTCTTGAGCGTCCAAACCGGAAGAGGGTGAACATAGGCGCATTATGTTGTCGGCTTGCGCGCGATAACAGGATGATTTAATGAGGGCTTTGAGGGCTGTGATTGAGCACTTGATCGAAGAATCCGGTGGTGGAGGCGATGAGTCACTTATAAGCGAAAATTTGGCTTGAGGAGCAGAGAAAACATTTTCCAGGTGCGAAGCGAACAACTCAGCCTTCTCCTCGCTCTTCCTAGCCCAGTCCCCACTATCAAGTCTCAGTGGAGGATCAGGGATCTTCGGTCTTTTCAACTTGCGAGCTGCTTTCCACAGGGAACAGTCTGAAGATGCGTCGGGCGACAAGCCACTGAGATATCTCTGTAGACCCCTTTCTCGGGCATCACTCAGAGCAGATTTGAGCTCTTTTGTTAGGGTGTTCAGCAGCGTCTTGTCCTTGGGATCTCTTGACAGTTGGAATTTTTTTCGCTGAGCTCGCTTTTGGGCCAAGAGATCACGAATTGGCTTGGAAAGGCCACTCGATCCTCTGTTGATAATCTCCTTGGCAGGCGGCGTAGAGTCACGAGCGGCATTGCATAGTAGCTCCGTAAAGGATTCGACGGCCTGGTCAATATCCGAGGAGGATTTCAGCTTCCAATTCAAACTACATCTCTCCGAGAGCAGTTTTGAATATTTTTTCCAACATGTTCGAGAGTTCGTGATAGGCACTGTTTCACAGTCATTGAGACTGACTTTTTCCTTGGCTTGCAGACTAAGGATTCGGCGCTGGTGTCTCTCTGTCTGGCGCTGGGCATTCTGGCGCGAAGGACTCTCGCCACGGCCAGTCACAGTTCCTCCAGCGGCGTGGAGTTCTTCCTGCACGGCCTGCATGCGCTCTTCAAGGGTGATTTCCGCATCACGTCGCACAGAGACGAGTGGGTGTTCGCCGACATGGATCTGCTGCAGAGTGTCGTGGCACCGGCGCTGCGAATGTCGCTGAAACTGCATCAGGATCACTTTCAGAACCCTGATGATTACGAGGACAAGGCGGCGCTGTACGAGGCCATCAGTATTCACACGCAAGGGCTGGTGATCTCGCACGAGGCGGACCCGCTGTGGCGCAACGCCGTGCTGCGTGGCGTGCCAAATCTGCTGGCGCTGCGACACGTGATGGAGATGGATCGGATGAGTATCGCGTGATTATACTGGCGAAGCGCTATCTCAGCTTCAGGGTGATCAAGCTGAACAGGGAGTGTGTTCGTGGATTGTGGGCTGGACAGCAGCAGGAGCTGATCTATCTGAGGAACAGGAATCCGGAGCGTGGCAGTATTCAGAATGCGAAACAGGCGCTGAGGAATATCATCAATTCCTCGTGTGATCAGCCGATCGGCTATCCGATCTACGTGTCTCCGCTCACGACATCGTATGCGGAGACGAATGAGCAGCTGTGCAGCATCGCCGGCGGCTCTGTGAGTGTGAAGAAGATCCGAAATCTCGTGCTGGACGTGTGGAGTCGCGTGCGACAGCGCTGTCGCGAAGGCTGCAGCAGTGGCAGCGCCATTGACAGCGACATGGGAGACATCCAGGGAGTGTACTACAATGCCCAGGTGCCGCACAGTGTCACCACGATTGGCGGCGTGGGCATCAGCAGCGGCGGCAGCGGCACATTGGCCTATGGCAGTCAGAATCTGTCCGTGAGCGGCGCCACGACGCGCGGCAGTTTCGCCAGCATGGGAAAGCTCACGAGTTCCACTCTGCTGGCGGGAATTCTCAACAGGGATCGCGACATGGAGCGCGAAGCCGTCCGGAGTGGCGCCAAGCGAGCGTCCAGTCAGTCCAGGATCAGTGAGCGAGAGCGTCGCGCCACACTGCCGGCCACGTCTTCCTCGTCGTCCAGCACGCGTGATGTGTGCAGCAAGGAGATGCTGATGGGCAGCACAAACTCGTGTCTGAAGCATCAGGAATCGATGGACTTTGGCGCGACCAAGAGTGCCAATCTCAACACGCGGAAGAGCAACAGTCACTGTCCGTGGAGTCGCGCGAGATTCGCCACTTCTTCAATCAAACTCGGCAGCAGCTCATCCGCAAGGATGTAACCGCGTCCACGAGCGACACACACAAGTAGCAGCTCGATGTGTACATTATGCATATGTATTAAAGTTAATAAATAAATAATAATTTATTTCAAGTTCCAATATTGTCATATTTCGTTTTTTTACCCTTTTTTCTAATTACCTGTCTTTTCTCTACCGCAGTGTCCAAACTGCCACAAAAGCAAACAAAATAAATGAAAGAAAACGAAGACAAAGGAATTATTACAAAAATAATATTTATTGATAAGGAAAAAATTCAATCAACTGTGTGCTCTTATTTTAAATTTTAACATTCTTCATTGAAAAAATTAAATCAACTGAGTGCTCTTATTTTAAATTTAACATCCATAAACATTGAAAAAATTCAATCAACTGAGTGCTCTTATTTTAAATTTAACATCCTTAAACTGAAAAAATTCAATCAACTGAATGCTCTTATTTTAAATTTTAACATTCTTCACTGAAAAAATTCAATCAACTGAGTGCTCTTATTTTAAATTTTAACATCCTTGAACATTGAAAAAATGAAATCAACTGAATGCTCTTATTTTAAATTTTAACATTCTTCACTGAAAAAATTAAATCAACTGAGTGCTGTTATTTTATATTTTAACATTCTTCATTGAAAAAATTCAATCAACTGAGTGCTCTTATTTTAAATTTTAACATCCTTGAACATTGAAAAAATTCAATCAACTGTGTGCTGAGTCTCAAACCAGCTTTCAACCGAACTAGTCGATAGATCGCGGTCAAAGACAAATTTATAATAAAATCCTTAGTTTATCAGGCGATTTTATACATTTTTCATAAGTGAAGAAACAAGTGAAACAAATTCAGGACAAGAAGTGAGGAAAAAATGCCAGGAGTCAGCCTTGGGGGGGGGCAATTTGTCCCCCTGGTGGAACACGTGGACACAATAAAACATGTGACACATAAATATATTCCAAATGTGCAATACAATGGATTTAAAGTGATGGTGACTAGTGGAAGAAGCGATCTCGATTTTCTCGAGATAGGAGAAAAAGTGAAAAATAACTTCAACAGGAACGATATCAGAGATATTAGACAAACCGGAAGAAAATCAATGATTGTGTACTGCGAAAAATTCCATGTGGCCAACATGCTGTCGGACATGACATCCATCCAGACCGATGACGTCAGATTCTTCATCCCGCTCTACTTTACATCATCATGTGGAGTAATAGGGGGAATCAACCCAAAATACAGCGAAGAATATCTCATGGATAATATTGAAGCCGGCCAACTCAAAATCAGAAAAGTGACACGAGTCAAGAAATACGACTACATAGACGGACAAAAAACAGAAAGTGACACAGACCGAGTGAAAATATACTTTGAAGGTGGATGTATTCCTCAATACATATTCATAAACTACGTACGAATCCCATGTGTACCATTCGAGAGAAAAGTCATGCCATGCAAAGTTTGCTGATCCTATTATCATGGTGCCTGGCAATGCAAAAATGAAAAGAAATGTAAGCGTTGTGGATCCTCACATTCAGCCGTTTCCTGTGAAGACCCCCTAAGATGTCCAGCTTGTGGAGGAAACTACTAAGCAGACTATATCAATTGCCCAGAGAAAATACGCCAGGAAAATATAAACCAACTAATAACCTACAAAAGTATGAGCAAAGCAGAAGCTGCCTTATATTTCCCCCACCCGAAGCAAAAGAGAGACACAATATCATCAATTCTGCAGAGCAATCGTTTCAATATTCTGGATGACGACAGCGACGCCGACTTTCCCACTCTGGAGGAAGCAAATAAAGAAAGGAGAAACAAGAAACAGAGAGCGAAAATTCCAGTTCACGAAACCCCAAATGCAGCACCAATACTCCCAATAAACTCTATTTTGAACAATGACTATGACTCTGGAGAGACGGAAGACACCATCAACACCAGGAAAGACTCCCGCAAGACACACCATGGAAAAAAGATAGCACGAGACACACGACAACAGACAGAAACAAAACCGGCCAACAAAAGAGATCGGACAATCCTCTCTGCATCCAGTAATGAAGAGCAAGTCAAACGACCAAAAAATTCCTCTGAACAAGTGATAAGTAATAACACTAACATGCACAATACTAACTCATTACCAAAAATTTCTGAGGAAAAACAGGCAAATCTCTCACCCAAAGACAATCAAACACCAAGCACATCCAAACAAAGTCCCTCGCAAAATTACTACCCAACACACCCAACAATAACAAGCCCACATTATCGACACACAAAAGAAGAGTATAGACAAAAGATATCGGAAGCTAAAGCAAGAAACCAACAATTACACACGGATCCGTTAAGTACAATCGATAAAACAACACATGATCAGTTGAATGATCCAGTCGATCATTCACTTAGCCTCCCACAAAGAAAAACAAATCACCAAAACAACACTCAAAAACCACTACTTAACAATGAACAAAAAAAAAAGATTCAATGGAGCTTGACGCTCCGGAGGATCAAATCCAACACTGACTCATTAATTCACAAAATACAGTGGGGGATGTCGGCCTGGCTGGCGTGGGTGGGCCGGGGGGGGGGGGGGGGGGGCGGGGGGCGGAGAACCCCTCCACCTTACAAGGTGGATGGGTGCTCGGGCTCCACTGGCCGGGCCCTGGTAGCTGGGTCGGGCTCTCCTGAAATGAACACTGGCGAGCGAGCGCCAAAAATGTGATGACACACCTTCAAATAGAGTGGCAGAGCGTGGATTAGTTCACCTCACGCCTCCCGCAGTCCTCCGCCAGGAATTATGCCCAATAATGTCTTCAGCTCACCTGATATTGAACGAGAATTAGTCACATGAACTCTCCAGTGATTCCTTCCACCTTGGAATCCCCGAAATGGTCTCGTCCTCACCTGAGAAGTACACAGAATTAGTTTATCTCTTCATCCGCGGACGAAGGACAAAAAATTCTGTGTCTGGCGCCAATTCTCTGCCCAAAAGTCCGCTCCACGATCCGGGAAGACGGCGAGAAGACGGCTGAGGAATCTCCGCACTATTCCTCCTCTTGCCGCTCCAGGGAAACACTCGCGCTTCACTTAAGTACTTTATTTATACTTAACTACACTAAGTGATTGCAGTGATTTAAAGGGCCACGTATTCAAGGTGCAAATAATTACACAAAATGCCAGAATGGCCGCCACAAGTAAAAATGTTGCACAGAAATTACACAGTGATAAAAACGAACAGCTGACGGTACGATACGGTGACTGTTAGAGGCTGATGACTCAGCGGGCTTCCCTTTTATCCATTCATGCCCGCTGAGTGACATCCGATGGCATCCGATCGAATGCCGCCCAAATATTGTCCGATGGACTAATCGATTAAGAGCGCGCCGGTTGAGAGATAAGAGACAGAGTCTCTTAAGCGGCGCGTTCATTTCTCCCCGGCTGGACTTGAGCATCCTTGGAGCCCTCAAGTCCAGGGAAATTCCTGTCTCATCTTGGTAGACGCAGAGTCCTCGGTTCCGGACGCTTGTGGTACTCCTGGGCCGATCGCGCCGTGGCGATTCAGGCCCCGCTGGCTTCTCAGACAATGTTGGTTGCCAGCCTTTCTGGAGCGAACTCCCCGGACTTCGGAAGAGATCATCAGAAGCGGGCCGGCAAAATCCACACCCGCTGCAGGAAACGGACGACGTGGGTGCACGCGGAATTCCAGAAGGCTTCCCGATGGCTGCGTGAGGGCTTCAGCCTTGCGCGGAAGCGCTTGGAGCAGCTGCGCATCACCTTCTGTGCACATCTCCGACCGGAATTGGCCGGAACCGCTGACAAGCTGAGGACCAGGATGGCCTCAGTCCAGCATGCGGGTGGTTCGTGTGCATATTCCGAGTGCTCATGTCCGTTGGAAAGGGCTTTGGCAGCAGACTCGGGTGTTGGGATGAGAATGGCTGGTCCGCATTCTCACGTCTTCCTCTCCCACGAATGAATCCATGTTCATCCGTGCATGGTGGCAGGGATGTCAGCGACATCCACTGAGGAGGAATGGCTTCGTCCTGCTCCAACTGCTGGCGAACGAAGGTGGAAGGGCGACGCTGACTCGCCCTGATGATGGACTTGAGAGACGATGAGACGCCACAAGAGTGCATGACGCTCACGCTCTCCCCGGACGCGACGCGACATCTCTGGTCGACGCGCGTCTCCTTGGGTTTCCTCGGGCCTCAGCTATGACCGGCCCCGTATGGCCGACCGGATCACAACTGGCAAGGCCGGATGCCGTGTGCCCTTGGCGCTGATGTCCAGAAGGGGCGTCTTTCTGGAGTTGTCCTCAGACGGGCTCCAGATCATCCCCAGGGTGCTGATGACGGGATTGCTCACTGTCACCGCGGTTGGCATCGCAACCTGGATGAGTTGGCAACACAGGCGGTGGCTCTTACGCGGCTCCTCGGAGATAATGTGACCACAAGTGAGAAGTAACTGTAGTCTTTCTGCCTCCAAAGAAGTGGATGCCGAGACTAGGTGGTCCTCGGCATAGCTGGGAATGTGGAACGCAGGAAGAACTACTAGATGCCTTCCCTCGTGATGTCGGGTGAAATTGATGAGCGCTCTGGCGGCCGAAAGGGATGTTGAGACGACATCGGAGCACATGCGAGAGTGACAGTAGGCTCGCAGCGGATCAGGTGGGAAACTCCGGTGGACTAGTCTACGGGAGTGAAGAAACGTGAGGACAAGGTGTGGTTGGACCGTGGGACCACACATGAAGACATCCATGAAGCTGAAGCTCGCGTTGGCCTCAGAATCCTTCAGACCTCCATGATGCGGCATGTGGTGGAAGCTAGAGCCATGTTGTTCACTAGGCAGAACTGACTCTCTCTCCTTCAGGTCCTTTGTCGCGTCCTCTCGCATGCTCTTGAGCTTTGGTTCTCTCTCGGACTGCTCCTCCAAAGCCAAGAACTGCTGCGCTGCTCGTCCACGAGACTGTCCCAGGATGGTTGAAGTCTCCCGATAAGGACTCATCACCACGAGGCTCCTCTCTGCATCCT